CCCGCCTCTTTGGCCCGCGCCCCAGCACTGCATGAACTCTGCTGCTACAGCAGCAGCAGCAGCAACAGCAGCAGCAGCAGCAACAGCAGCAGCAGCAGCAACAAAAGCAGCAGGGTGCTGCGCATGCAGGGCCTTGTAGGTGCGGAATTTGCTGCAGACTGCGAGGAGATCCTACCGAGGGCGAGGGAGGCCCTTAACAGATGGCGACAGCAGCAGCAGCAGCAGCAGCAGCAGCAGGAACAGCAGCAGCAAAAAAAGGAGCCAGGCGAGGCGGAGACAAAAGGAGGAGCCCACGAGGGAGAAGAGCAATTTTACGCTCAGGTACTTCATGAAATGCTGGCTTTAGGGTTTAGGGTTTAGGGTTTAGGGTTTAGGGTTTAGGGTTTGTAATGCATATGCTGTTCATTGTGTGGGGTGTACGTACAGGCCCTACAAGATCTGCTGCAGCGGAGCGAAGCACTTGAAAGAGAAAGAGACATCAGAGACAGGCGACAAGCAGCAGCAGAGTTTGCTCTCTTCCCTCCTTCTCAGGAGTGTACGTTGCGAGGGTTTAGGGTTTAGGGTTTAGGGTTTAGGGTTTAGCATGTTTCGGTTGAAACTGTTTATCAGTAGTCTCCTCAGCATTAGCAAGCAGTGCCTATCCCAGCAGCGTGCTGCTGCACCTCATTGCTCCTGCTGCTCTTCCTGCTGCTGCTGCTGCTGCTGCTGCTGCTGCTGCTGCTGTTTGTGTGTTTAGATGTCCCTAGTGGTTTTATGCTGTGGCGTTGCCTCGGCTTATCTTGGGGCTGCGTCCTGTGGCAGCTGCTGCATGTCGAGAGTTTATATTTGTCTCTCGTAAAGTATCACTCTCTTGCTCCTCCAGCACTAGCAGCACTTGCTGCAGCAAGCCCACCACAGCAGCAGCAGCAGCAGCAGCGAGGGCTGCAGCAGCAGAATGGGGTGCAGCAGAAAAAAGGGCTGCTGCAGCAGAAAGGGGTGCAGAAACAGCATGAAGGGCAGCAGCAGCAAGAAAGGCAGCAGCAGCTGCAGCAGCAGGGCCTGCTGGTGCTGCAGGAGAGGGTTGCTGCTGCACTGCAGCAAGTGCAGCAGCTTGCTGCAGAGTCGCAGCAGCGATGCGTAGTGTTTGCTACGCATGCAGAAGTCAGGGGCTTCCACCTGCTGGAGGTGGTGCCCTATTTGGAGTGTACGTACACCGCAGCTCCCCTGCTGCTGTTGCTGCTGCTGCTGTTGCTGTTGCTGCTGCTGATGCTGCTGCCGCTAAGGTCTTATCGCTGCAGAAAGCACTTTGGAGCAGGAGCAGCAGGAGGGACTGTTGTGTTGCTGCTGCTGCTTGAACTATTGGTGTGCAGCCTGTTGCTGCTGCTGCTGCTGCTGCTGCTGCTGCAGCTGTTTCTGCATGGCATGCTGCGGTATTCGTTTGAAGTGCTGCTGCTTGTGCTGCTACTGCTGCTGCTGCTGCTGCAGGCGTGTGTGTAGAGGAGTTGCTTGCTAGTGGTTTATCGTACAGCAGCCCTGAAGCACTGCAGCAAGCGCAGGCGTTGGTGCTGCAGCTAGCAGCAGGGATCGTGTCCCTGGGGCCTATTTGCTTCCTGCTGCCGCTGAAGCTGTCTCGAATATTTATTCAAAAAGATAAAGTTTTATTTGTTGCTGGGCTGCCTCTCTCCCTCCTCCTGCATCCTGCTGCTGCTGCTGCTGCTGCTGCTGCTGCTGTTAAAGCAGCAGACGCGGATGCGGCAGCAGCAGGGGCAGCACCGAAACCAGCAGCAGCAGCAGCCGAGCCCGCCGCCACAACAACAGCAGCAGCAGCAGCAGCAGCGGAGTCCCCAGCAGGAGCAGCAGCAGCAGCAGCAGCAGCATCTCCTTGCAGCTTTTTGTCTTCACTGCGCGTTCCTACTGCTGCTGCGGGTCTATGGGCGGAGGGTTTGTGCTGCTGTCTGCCTCCAGAGTGTACAGACACCTCCTGGGAGTGCAGCGCTGCAGCAGCAGACAAAGCCCATGCGTGGATGTTGGGTTTGCTGCTGCTGCGCCTCACTGCTGAGCCGCATGTCCTCCAGCAGCAGCAGCAGCAGCAGCAGCAGCAGCACGCAGCATACTCGCAGCAGCAACTCAACAAATGCATTTCACAGGTTGCAGACGCAAAAACACAAGTCAGCTGCTGTTGCTGCTCTTGCTGCTGCTGCTGCTCCTGGTGCTGGGGCTGTGGCTGCCCCTGCTGCTGCTGCGCTCTTTGTGCTATGGCTGCTGCTGTTCATTCGGCTGTTGATGCTGCTGCGCCTAGCATTCTTTTTGCTGCTGCTAGTGCTGTTCTGCTGCTGCTGCTGCTGCTTCTCCAGCTGGAACAGCAGGAGAAGCAGCAGCAGCGAGTTTCTGTTTACAGCTGCACTTCGACGTGTATCCCCACCGTGCATTTGCGTTTGCTGCTGCTGTTTTTGTTGTTGCTGCTGCTGCTGCGGTTGTTGCTGCAGGAGTTTCTCCTCGCCTGTCTGCAGCGGGACCCAGAGAAGAGACCTTCGCTTAGTGAGCTGTTAAAGTCGAGCCCCTATCTGCAGCAGCAGCAGCAACAGCAGCAGCAGCAGCAGCAGGACGAGGCTGCACGGGCGGGTGTCTCTCTCGACTCAGACAGTACAAGGTGCTTCTCTCCTTTAAAGGCTTCCAGCAGCAGAAACGGCAGCAGCAGCAGCAGCACTCGGGGGCGGGCGATGCCTGCAGCGGCTGGAGGAGCAACAAGTGAAACTACTTCTGCTGCTGCTGCTGCTGCTGCTGATGCTTCTCCCCATCTGTCTACCGCAGCAAGAGTAGCTGGAGGCGCAGCAGCAGCTGCTGCTGCTATCGATCTCTCCTGCAGCAGTAGCCTCATGAAGAAGAGACAGCGCTCTGCAGATGACGGCGACAGCAGCAGCAGCAGCAGTAGCAGCAGCAGGGGTGTCGTGCAATCGGGTTCATCAGCAGCAGGAGCAGCAGGAGCAGCAACAGGAGCAGCAGCAGCTCGACCTGGAGGTGGGTCGCTGTTGCCTCCTTTGCTAGGAATGCGTTTACCGCAGCAGTTGCAGCAGCACCCAGCAGCAGCAACAGCAGCAGCAACAGCAGCAGCAACACGTTTAGCTGATTGCTGCGACGCTCTGTTTGGAGATGTAGGCCGGGTTGTGCCGGCATTAATTAAAGACAGAGTTAAAAGCAAGAAGAGAAGAGAAGAAGGTGTAGCCTTCTATAGACAGAACGACCCCCTTGCTATGTATTCTGCTGCTCCGGACTCCTTACCTCCTACCAACTCCCTCAGCCCCACTGCTGCTGCTGCTGCTGCTGCTGCTGCTGCTGCTGCTGGACTGCAGCAATAGCAGCAATAGCAGCAGCAATACGAGGATATCCAGTAAGTGAGAAGGCTGATGTACACAGGGAAGTGCTGAGATGCAGCAGCAGATACGCTGATGATGCTGCTGTTGCTCCTGCTGCTGCACTGCACTGCTGCCTACAACATCGCCAGCAGCAGCAGCAGCAGCAGCAACAGCAGCAGCAGCAGCAGCAGGTGTGTGGTTGCTGAGTCGGCAACCGCTTATATAGGAACAGGTTCTGGAGGTCGATTAGACAGAGAAGCAGGTTCACTTGCTGCAGCAGCAGCAGCAGCAGCAGCAGCAAGTGAAGCTGCTGCGGCAGCAGGTGCTGATGCTGCGGCGTTTGCTGCTTCTGCTGCAGCAGCAAGTCAAGCTGCTGCAGTGTCTGCTAGCGCCACCTTGTCTGTTTGTTTAATTGCTTGTTTATTTATTTATTTTGCTTCGCTTTCTTTTTTTTCTCGTGTGTGTCTCCCCCTCTGCTAATGCCTTTCTGTCGCTAGTTAGCTAGCTAGGGGGGTGGCTAGCTAGCTAGCTATCTGTCTGCTCTCGAGCTAGCTAGCGCGCCAGCTAGCTAGCTGTCTGAACTCTAGCTAGCTAGCTGGCTAACCGCTAATACCGGGACTCATTATGCCAGTTGGCTAGCTAGCTAGCTAGCTAGCCAGCTAAACAATGCGCTCTTGAGGCGATTTGCAAGGCTCCGCTGTTGTCGCTACTGCTGCTGATGCTGCTGCAGCTACTAGAGCTGAATTGTTGCTGCTACAGAAGGAGGAGCCGCAGCAGCGCTCGAGTTGCTGCTGCTGCCCCCCCCACCCGCATACGCCTAAGCAATAATCAATTAGCTAGCTAGCTACCCAGTTTGTTAGCTAGCTGCCTAGCTAGCCGGCTAGATGCTTAGCTCGCTGGCTAGCTAGCTATCAAGCCGTCTGGCTACCTAACTGGAGACCTAGCTAGCTAGCTAACTGGGTAGCGTGCTTGGGAGGCTGTTCCTCGTCAGCTGCTGCTGCTGCTGTTGCTGCAGCCCTCTGCAGCCAGTGCTGCCGTCTGTTTGTTCTGCTGCTGCATTACCTTTAGTTTATTTGTTTATTTATCTTTTTGTATTTATTTTTTATTGAAGTTGTCTCTAAGCTGTCGATGTTTTGTTTATTTCTTCTCTCTGCCCCACGATCTATTCAGCAAACCCCTTGCTGCGCTGTTAGACACTTGCTGCTATTGCTGCTGCTGTTGCTGCTGTTGCTGCTGCTGTTGCTGCAGAGTGCAGGCTGAACGTTCTTCCGGGTGTATGTACACGGAAGACAAAGCACAGAGCCTTATCAATAACAGGAAGCCGTAACACACACCAACGGCGCCTGCAGCAGCAGCAGCAACTGCAGCAGCAACAGTAGCAGCAGCAAATAGTTTGGGTGTATGCGAAAAACAGACAGCAGCAGCAGCTGCTCTCAGCCTGCTGCATCTCTTTTTGTTTCCTTAGGTTTCTCTTGAGAAATAAATTAACTCCACAAGCTGCAGCAGCAGCTGCTGCCTTGAAGGCAGCCTCAACAGCACACTGAATTTGTTAATTTGCAGATTGTTTACAATCAACAGAGCAGAATGCAGTATACCTGCAGCAGTCACTAGGAAGCCCCTGGTGCTGCTGCTGCTGCTGAAGAGGCGCCGCAGCAGCAGCAGCAGCAGCAGCAGCAGCAGCAGCAGCAGCAGCAGCAAGCCCCAGGATGTTCCGCGACGCGATGATGGCGATGCAGCGGGGAGTTGAAGTGTTAATTTATTTGTGGTGTTGTTTGTTGTTTATTTTATATTTATGTTCTCCTCTTCTTACTGCATCAGCAGCAGCAAACAACCCTGTACAGACACCGGCGCTGGGGACCAGCATTCTCTTGCAGCAGCAGCAGCAGCAGCAGCAGCAGAGAGAACACTACTAGCTGCAGCAGCACCAGCAGCAACTACAGACGCGGTGCTTGCAGCAGCAGCAGCAACAGCAACAGCAAGAGTAGCAGTAGCAGCAGCAGCAGCACAGACACAGGTTTGCATCTGGTGCTGCTCCAGGTTCTAGGCCTTGAGTCGTTGCAGCAGCAGCAGCAAACAACAGGAGCAGCAGCAGCAGACAACGGCAGCAGCAGCAGCAGCAGCAAACAACGACAGCAGCAGCAGGAGCAGCAGCAGCAGCAGCAACAGGGAAAACGCCTCTCTGGCGACATAGAGGCGCTGTTCTGTCGCGCAGCAGCAGCAACAGCAGCAGCAGCAACAGCAGCAACAGCAGCAACAGCAGCAACAGCAGCAACAGCAGCAGCAGCAACAGCAGCAGGAGGAGGAGGAGGATAAAAGTTGTTTATATTTTTTGTCTCTCGCCCTGCGTTTGTTTATTTCTTGTGCTGCTACGTTGCTGCTGCAGCTTAAACAAATATATTTTTGTGTATTATCTCTCTTTTATATATATATATATATCTGTTTTACTTTCTTTTACCTGTCGCTTTGATAATTTATTATTATTTTAGCCGTTTGTCTCTACTAATTGTCGCACTCTCTGTATATTATATATATAATATATATATATATATAATTAAAGAGCAGGAGTTAAACAAATAAGATAAGAAGAAAAGAAGATAAAAGTATTACGATGGAGAAGCGCCGACTGCAGCAAGAAGTCGAGAGGACGCTAAAGAGAGTCGAAGAAGGGTGCGATTTGTTTATGAGTCTACACAATAAGTTTATGCAGCAGCAAACAGCAAAAGGAGAAGCAGAGTTAAAGAAAGAGATCAAAAGATTACAGAAACTTAGAGATGTTATTAAAGCCTGGCAGGGTAATATAGATATTAGGAATAAGGCGCCGTTAGATATCAGCAGAAGACGCGTCGAAAAGTGTATGGAGGCCTTCAGACAGTGCGAGCGTGAGTTAAAGACAAAAAGTTATAGTAAAGACGGTTTAGCAGCAGCAGCAGCAGCTGCTGCTGCTGCTGCTGCTGCAGCTGCAGCAGCAGCTACGGGAGGTGCCAGTGGGGAAGATACACCGCATACACAAGATCGACATAGAGAACATGTTGCTGCTGCGCTGCAGCAGCTGCAGCAGCAAATGCAGACTCTGCATGCAGATATTAATCATCAAGAATATAAGAAGACAAACAAAAAAGATAAAGATAAAAAGAAGAACGAACAGCTTACAGAGACTTATTCTCTTCATATTAAAAAACTTACACACGTCTTGCGCTTAGCTGATGAGGGTCTGCTGCCTCCAGCAGCACTTGCTGCTGTTGCTGCTGCAGCAGAACACTACACCAGCAGCAGCACCACAAACCCTGATGCTCTTCCTGATGCTTCTATCTATGATTGCTTAGCGGCATATGAAGACGAAGCCACCCTCAGCGAAGAGCAGAGCGACGCACATTCAGATGCTGCTGCTCTCTGTTAGTCATTCTCTCCTGCTGCTGCTGCTGTTGTGCTGCTGCTGTTGCTGCTGTTGTGCTGCTGCTGCTGCTGTTGTTGTGCAGCAGCTGCTGCTGCTGTTGTGCTGTTGCTGCTGTTGTGCTGTTGTTGCTGCTGCTGTTGTGCTGCTGCTGCTGCTGCTGCTGTTGTGCTGTTGTGCTGCTGTTGTGCTGCTGCTGCTGTGCTGCTGCTGCTGTTGTTGTACTGCTGCTGCCGCTGTTGTGCTGCTGATGGTGATGATGTGCATTTGGATGCTGCTGCTCCCCGTTAGCCTTTCCTCGCTGCTGCCGCTGTGCTGCTGCTGTTCTGCTGGTTCTGCTTCTCGTGCTGCTGCTGATGCTGCTGCTGATTGTATGCGGTTGCTGCTGCTGCTCTGTACTAATTATTGTTATTCCTCTCTGCTGCTGCTGTTTGTTTGCTGCTGCATTATTACACTTTGGTTTGCTGCTGCTAGTTGCGCCTCCATGGGCTGCTGCTTATGCCTATCCTCTTCTGCTGCTGCTGCTGCTGCTGCTGCTGCTGCTGCTGCTGCTGCTGCAAATTGTCCTGCTCCATGTGCTGCTGTTGCTGCTTCTGCTGCTGCTGGTCATGCGTCTGGTGCTGCTGCATTTGTTGATGCTGCTGGTGGTGCTGCTGCTGCTCGTGCCTTTGCTGCTGTTGATGTTTTGCTGTGGTTGAGTGTGTTGCTTCAGCTGCTGCTTCTGCTGCCACAGCATTTGCTGCTGCTGCTGCTGAGTTTGTTGCTGGTGGTTCATTTGCTGTTGCTGCTGCTGCTGCATTTGCTGCTGTGTGCAGCGGCGGATACACCTTCGAATTCTGCTGCAGAGGGGAGCAGCAGCTCATCTGGGGGGCCCCGCAGCAGCAGCAGCAGCAGCAGCAGCAGCAGGCGGGCCCTCAGTGCTGCAGAGGAGCCTGAAGGATCGCCGAAGAGAAACAACAGACGCAGCAGCAGCCCAAGCAATGCTGCTGCTACCACCGCAAACAGCAGCAGCAAGGGGAAGCAGCAGCAGCAGCAACAGCAGCAGGGATCTACTGCTGCTGCAGCCGCGACCGAACAGGGTGCTGGTTCTCCGGCAGCAGCAGCACGGGGAGGTAGCAGCAGCAACAGCAGCAGCAACAGCAGCAGCAGCAGCAGCACTAAAGGAGGGGAAGTTGGCAGCGTTTGGAAGACAGGCAGGCTGCATGCTGCTGCTGCAGAGCAGCAACAGCAGCAACAGCAGCAACAGCAGCAGCAGCAGCAACGGGGTAGCGGTACAGGTGGCACAGCAGCCGGAAGCGTAGCTCCTTGGAAGGCAAAGACAGCAGCCGCAGCTGCTGCTGCTGCAGCACCCGCAGCAGCTGCAGCAGGAACACCAGCAGCAGGAGCAGCAGCAGCAGGAGCTGCTGCAGCAGGATCTGCTGGAGCAGGAGCCACGGGGCCTTCCGGTAGCAAGGGGCAGGGAAAGCAGCAGCAGCAACAGCGGGGTGCTGCTGAAACTGGCAGCAGCAACGGCAGCACCAGCAGCAACGGCAGCACCAGCAACAGCAGCAGCAGCAATACGAATGCAGCAGCAGCAGATTCTCAAGGGGGCATAGGCCCTCAACCTGCAGCGGATGCTGCTTCTGACTGTACGTCTTTATGCTTCATTTGAGGTGTACATTCAGCTTTCCTGCTGCTGCTGCTGCTGCATATATGTGTGCATATTGGTGTTCGGCTGCACTGTCTTTTTGTTGTTTGATTAATAATAATAATAAATAATAAATAATAAATAATAATATTTGTGTTATTATTATTACTTTTATTTCCGCGTATTGCTATAAAACCTTCATCTTCACAATTCCTGTGCTGCAACTGCTGCTGCTACTGCTGCTGCTACTGCTGCTGCTGCTGCTACTGATGCTGGTGTTGCTGCTGCTGCTGTATGTGTATGCGAGCAGTATCAGTGGTTGCTGCAGCAGTTGCTGCTTCTTGTGCATGTCGGCCTTTATACTGGGATTGCGACTTTAGCATTTCTTCGTCTTTTACTTCACCCTTCTTCTTTCCTCCTTGGATCCCAAGAGAGTCATCACAGCTTTGTATTAATACAAGAGCACCTTGGTTGCAGTCTAATAGAGTCATTGAAGAGACTGCAGCAGCAGCAGCAGCTGCTGCTGCTGCTGCTGCTGCAGGAGCAGCAACAGGAACTGCAGCAGCAGCCGCAGGGACGCCGTCAGCAACCGGAGCAGCAGCAGCAGCAGCAGCAGCTACAGCAGCTGATGCAGCAGCAGCACCACCAGCAGCAACAGTATCAAGAGGGCCGCCTGCTTGCTTTCCTAGAGGGAAGCTTGTTGCTGCGGAGAGCAGAGAGTTTTTCAGAGGGTTGGAGACAGATGCGTTATTTTTTGCTTTTTATTATCAACGGGTGCGGCTCCTGTACAAATATTTTTATTATATTATATCCTTATTTATCTTATTTATTTATTTATTTATTATTTGTCTGTCTGTTCGTTTGTTTGTCTGTTTGCTTTCTGAACAAGTTTGTTTCTTTATTGTTTATGCTATTTGCATATTATATGCATATATGTTTATATATGTATATTTATATATATATATATATGTGTTGGTAGATAAATATATTATATTGCCTCTAAAATAATTATATATATATAAACATATATATATAAACATATATATATATATATTTAAGCGTTTTATGAAAAGCTGTCAGACATACATTTTACATATATATATATATATATATATATATCTATATATATATATACTTCTATATATACATCCATATATATATACATATATATTTATATATTTATCTATTTACAATATATAAATATATATATATTTATATACTTATTTGTACAGGGAACAGTGCAGCAACTGCAAGCAGCACGCGAGTTGAAGGCGTTGTCGTGGCGGTATCACAAGAAGTACAACACCTGGTTTCAGCGCTTAGAAGAGCCGAGGGTTTCGACAGACAAATACGAACAAGGAAGCTACGTTTACTTCGATTATGATAACGGTGAGCCTATCTTTATATATATAATATATATATAATATATAATATATATAATATATATATGTATCTATATATTTATCTGTATACAGATATATTTATATCATTTGTCTTTTTCCTTCTCTCTTTTTTTCTCTACAAATATATATATATATATGTATATATATATATATATATATATCTATATATATATATGTTTGTATATACATATATATGCATTTATGCTTAT